TGCCCAGCTAATTTTTTGTATTTTTAGTAGAGACAGGGTTTCACCATGTTGACCAGGATGGTCTCGATCTCTTGACCTCGTGATCCACCCGCCTCGGCCTCCCAAAGTGCTCGGATTACAGGCATGAGCCACCGCGCCCGGCCCCAAATGAAATTTTTAAATATCATCTCATTCCCACGTCTATACCAGGGAAGTTTTGGATACATTTCTCTCTTACAGTAAAAATCACTGATCTATCTGAAAACATCACCTTTTTAAAAAAGTACATGCAAACTATACATAATGAGAACCTACCATTTTCATCATTAAGACCTAGCTGACCAAACTTGTTGCGTCCCCATCCAAAGATAGCTCCAGAAAGGGTGAGTACAAAACTATGGGCTCCTCCTGCTGCAACTTGCATGAAAGGGATTCCAAGCAAAGACTTAATCAGCTGTGGTGAGGTTTGCTTTTTACAGTCAGTACCTAAACCCAATTGGCCATATTTATTCTGTCCCCAACAGAAGATTTCACTTGCTGTAAAACAATAATAGAAAAATTAACCATTTTTCTCACATGCAAAAAATTTAATTTGAAAATCATTTCATTTCAAATTTCATATAAAGAATATTATTTTGGGACATTCTTCAGATTATCAAAAGAATATACATATTCTTTTTAGCAATTATGCTTATTTCTTATATGAAAATATACTACTACCTAGAAGAACATTCAGTATTAGTACACTTTAACTTTGACTACACAATGAACAGGTGAGTCACTTAACAAGGAGTAATCTCATTTTTTTATGCTCAACAGTCTCCTGTTAATATTCCTTGAGTATCATTTTTGTTCTGTAATTGCTCCCAAGAGGCACTCATTCAAGCTCAAAACTTTAGTAACTCTATGTTGATCACATTCAAAATTTTATCACTAGCCCAAACGTCTCCTGAGCAAAAAACCCATTGTTTACCTGACATCTATACGCGGATATTTCAAAGGAACTTCTAACTTAGGATGCCACAGACTGAATTCATCACCCCATCCTACTTCCCTGGACCTTTTTTCAGTGTTCCCCATTTCAGTAAATAACATCATAACTGACTCAGTAGCAAAAATTACAAACCTAGGGAGTCTTCCTTAATACTCCTTTTGTTTTTTATCTCACACATATCCAGTCTAAATTATATATCACCAGTTATATATATAGTTTTCTTTCTAAAGAAAAATATGGCAAATAGATCCTTCCTCACCATCTTACCTGATTCTTAAGATAGTTTTCCTGCCTGTCACTTTTGTTCCCATACTGCCATGCTATTTGGAAACTTTAGACATCCTTTTATTAAACTAACAACTGGCACTAAATAACTGATACACTAGTTAACTTTTTTTAAATTGAAATTACGAAACAGCACATACTTAAAAAGCAAGCTTCCTTCCAAAAAAATCAGAATCCTGGTTCCTCTTCCAAGAGACAATCACTCTTACCAATTACTGGTAAGTCATTCAAGAAATGTTCTATGCACATATAAACAGACATGTGTATCTCTGTGTATACACACAGAGATATTGTAAAAATGCAGATTTGATCATATTGCTCAACCCAAAAAATATGTTTCAGTGCTTTCTTGTTGCTCTTGGGATAAACACTTTAAACAAGGCCTATAAGGTGCTATATGATCTACCTATGTTTCCAATCTCTTATCATACCAGTTTCTTCCCTCACTCACTATACTCTAGCCATAGTTGCCTTCCTTTATATTCTCCAAAGGCCACTTCTGACACACTTGCCGTTCTCTCTACCTAAACCTTCCCCTCATCTTTGTCCAGTTCGTTTCAACTCTCTCCCAGCTGGAGCCTTCCTTCCGTGATCTCCCAGATTAGGTCTAGTACCCCTATCATATGTTCTAAATACCCTGAAGTTTTTCTTTATAGCCCTTATCATACTATGTAATTATGTCATTATTTGTATGACTGTATCATGAGGGCTAGTAAGTAGAGCATTGCTATCACTATGTACTGTAGTATGCCTAGCTCATACTAAGGGCTCTAAAAAATGTCTAGCAAATGAATAAGATTTTGCCTACAGCATAAAGCTGAGTAAGGCAAAAAAGAAAAAAAAAATAGGTCAATATGAAAAACTGTCCTCAGTAAAACCTTTTGAGTTTATATTTATATTAGATCCACCTACCAAAATATCAAAAGAACAGTTGGCAAAACAACAAAGAACACACAGAGATTCCATGTTCCTAACTGCCTACAGAAGTCCAAATACCTTAATATGACATTTACGGCCCTTTATAACAGATTTCTCTTTTTATTTCAGCCTAAAGTATGAGTACATCTCCCATTCCCTCACAACACCCACATAAAACTACATGCCAATATTCAAATACACCACTTTCTTAACTCTATGCCTTTACACTAGCACAACCCCTTAGTCACTCGACATTTCTTCTAGTCCTCAACATTTCTCCAATTATTAATAAATAAGAAAATAAATCTTTAAAGCCTGCATCAAATACTAATCCCTTCCTTATTGTTACCAATTATATCAATTAGAAACAATTATATTATTGTCACAGCATTGTACCTTTACCTTGTCTGAAAGAGTACATATTTTTTTCTGCCTCAAACTACAGTTATTTACTTGGACATCTGTCTCTTTCACTAGACTGTATGATCCCTAAACCTGTCTCTTTATTTATCTGTCCTTTCCCATGGTTCTACCTTAGTGTTTATTTGTAGTAGGCTTCACTAAATAATAGTAACAATGGAGCAACTGGAACCTATTTCTTTTAATGGTAAAAAACATACATATGGCAGATTCTTTACTAACCCATGTTCCAGTCCTTAGCTAGGACACTAATAAGTTAAATCAGTAATAGAGGAATGCAAACAAAACTAATAAATATGTTTGGCTTTCTCTATTTCTATTCATAGAAAGATCACCTGTGAGATTAAATGAGATTGGGGAAGCAATCTTCCCCAGTTGCAGCTATGAAAAGTTTTTAACTGGTTAATAAATAGACACAAAAATCAATTTCATGTCTATATAATAAACAAAAAATGACACCATTCACAACAACAAAAAACCAAATATCTAGGGGAAAGTCTAATCAAAGGTGTATAAGACCTGTCCAGGTAAAAGAAAACACTAATGTGAAAAATTAAAGGGAGACTTAAATGGACGAATATACCATGTTCTAGAATTGAAATGTTCAATATCGTAAAGATTTTCCTTGAATTGATTTATGGAGACAATGAAATCCCAATCAAAATCTCGGGGGGGGGGTGTGTGTACAGACTAATGAGCTAATTCTAAAAGTTATATGGAAATGAAAAGGATCAAGAACCAGGACAATCTTGGAGAAAGATGAGCAAAGTTGGAGAACTATATGCACAATAGAAAAGGTATCAAGTAATAAAACTGAAGGGAAATCAAATAAAAACGAATGTTTACCTTTAGAAAGTGCAAGTGAATGATAGTAACCACAAGCAACCTGTACAATCTGGATATCTGACAAACTTTTAATATTTCTAGAAAAGAAGAAGACAGATCAATATCAGTTAATTCCATTTAACAAATTGATCCTGAATACTATTTACTACTTATTGATGGCCTACTATATGCACATAGGTCACACTAGTTTTTCCATACAAGCCCAATTTTAGCATACCATAGATTTATGCTAAAATCAGTAAATAAGAGCCAGATACAAAAAAAAATAAAATTAAAAGGGATGATAAGGAAACACCTTGGAATACAATACTGAAGCAAAGTGAGCTATGTTCATACCTCAAGTACTCCTCAGAGTGCTCTTATAATTCAGACATTTTCTTTCATTATAAAAAAAGTTTTTTAAAATCATCAGCTTACAGTTAGAAACTTGGCAATACATTTGGAAAGCAAATGTACATTATCTAATTTGTCTAAAATTGTTTTGCCTAATTTAATGTACGTTCTCCTTTATCAGGTTTCTTAAGAACTAATAGGGCTTTTTATCATGTTCTACCAACTCACAAATTATGAAACCTATTCCTTACAAGCTATCCTTCTGCTCTACATCTAAATCAGGGACATTTAATTTTTTTGCTAGAGAAATTTACTCAATTCACATTTATAACAATCACTACTAATATGTTAAGTCTTATTTTCTTCTCTCTTGTATTTTGTCCTTACGCTTTCATAATTTCTTCTCCTCCTTTCCTGAGTTTTATTTTACCACTACGCAATTTTAAAGGCTCATTTTTAAAACATTATAAAAATCAATTAACTTTGCATGTACATCAACCATCCCAGCATCTCCTTAGGTTCTTTCCCTTTACCTGGTCATGCCACTGTTTTTCCTGAATGAATGTTTTCAAGAAAAAAAAGGGGGGAGCCTGGATGTGGATTACAGGTAGTTTACTGTAATCCCAGCATTTCCGGAGGCCAAGGCAGGTGGATCGCTTGAGATCAGTCAGGAGTTTGAAACCAGCCTGGCCAACCTGGTGAAGCCCTGTCTCTACTAAAAATAGAAACAGGAAA